TTTATTATTGTTTTAAAATCTATACATATTGTCACATTTTACACAAATAAAAAGTTTCTCAATTTACAATAATAATATTATTTTAAAGAAATGGCAAATATAATTGCTGATAAGGACAATTTGGTGTTTTGCCATCCGCTGTATGTCTTAGAGTTTTATTGCACGCCAATCAATAAAATAAAAACTACATACGTTTCGATGAACTAATCTACAATATTTGGTTCTATTATACTTGGCCAATACGTCGCGTGCCTTGTGCTTGCACTGCGCAATGGCGACTGTACAAAGACTGTTCACACTCTCATACTTGACTTTAAATACTACTACGAAACGAACCTTAAGAGCTAGAAAATGTAATATCCAATGTACAGACACCCAACTTGATCTACGATATACCTAAAAAGGGTGTGAGCTATGCCCCTTGAAATGGGTCTCTTCACAGTAGACGTGTACAGGCTATAACCTAACTAACGATTGCCGCATTCGCATTTGGTGATCGTGATATTAAGGCAAAAAAATAAAAGCATCAACTGTAATCCTTTCTCTACTCCTGCTTGGCCGCCAACTTGGCCTGTGCCGCCAGCTTGGCCTGTGCCGCCTGCTTGGCCTCCTTCTTGTAGTTGTGCACATAGAAGGAGCTGAACATGTAGGTGAAGAGGCCGGCATTGAAGGTCAGTAGGGCCGCAATCGATTTGGGGAAGTTGCAGTTTGGCTGGAACTGGATCTGCAGCGTGTGCACAAAGATGATGAGGAATTGCACCTGGTGAGCGGAGGAAAAGAAAATGGTTAATCCAATATATAAAACATATAACCAATGCTGTCTGTCTAGCTTACAATCTGGAGAATGGTGATGTACTTCTTCCACCACAGATACTTCTGCACTTTGGGTCCCATGGCCGAGAGCAGATAATAGGCGTACATGATGATGTGGATGAAGGAGTTGATGAAGCCCAGCAAGGTGCCGTGGCCCCCGGCAAAGTACTTGACGCCGATGAAAGCGCACACAGGCATCAGCGTGTGATGGTACAGATGGAGGAACGAGATCTGACGATCCTTCTTGCGCAGCACAAAGAACACCGTGTCCAGCAGCTCCGTGATCTTGGCAATGTAGTACAGCCAGACAGCGCGCGCCATCTAAATAGAAATCGAGGAATTAGTCTATGACAACTAGGTGAACAATTCAAGTTCAATGATAGCTTACTCTCATGGAGATGGGATCCGTGGCATAGGTGACGGGCTGGCACTTGAAGTTGTAGTGACCGCCCCAGCCGCCCTTGTAGCCCTCGTAGAAGAGCACCCAGCTGAGCAGCACCTGGACCGCATTGTAGATGAGCAGCGTGTTCTTCAGCTCGAACGGCTTGCGATCGCGCATATAGCGCGGTCCCGCATACAGGCAGAAGTACAGGTAAGCGCCGAGAATCATGAACAGCGGTCCAGGTGCATTCGAGAGGAACCAGCTCTGTGCATAAAATGAAAAGAATATATTTATATATTGAGGCGTTCAGCTGATTCAACTAACGATTTCTACAGACCTTTGTGCGCAGATCCTCGTGCTCCACGAAGAAGTTGACCATCTTGTCAACAATGGTTTGTGTCTCGTTCAGTCTGACCGACATATTGCCAACTGCAAGTACGATATGGGAAAAATAAATATCATCAGACAATTCTGCTTAGGATTAGCTAACTTATGCAAATAACGAGTGCTGTAATATTAGCACCTGAACTGTCTTTGAATCTGTTTGATAAACTGATATACAGCTGACTAGCACGTTAATCATAAAGGTATACAAAAGTCTGACAGCCAAGGCGAAGCCGCGCCCTCGCCTAAGCCATGCGGCGCTATTAATGGGATGTTTACTATAAATAAGCATCATGGAAATATAAATTCATATAAAGTTTTATGATATATAAATATGTGTTCAATGCACTTGAGTGCACATTTTCTAGCTAATAAACGAACATGTAAATTAGGCAAAACGTAGCCGAGTTTTGTGGCATTAACCTTACTTGATTTATGCTTAATCAGTCCTTTTAATTGATTTTTTTTTTTATATAAATTCTACACTCTACGTCTGTCTCAGCATTATACAGAAATTCTGTTTTCCCATACAATGAAAATGTTTAAAAGCTTTTTTGTGGTTGTGGCTAAAGACTAAAGTTACACGCTGCCGGGAATGCAAGCTGCACAAAACCAATGAAACATTAAAGAATATAAAATGACACGCGGCAGAGTGACGAGCTAATACCCTAGCTTTGAGTAGCTATAATGACCATAATACTCCTTGCTATAATATATATACATATATATATAATAATATAATATTCATATATTACTATTGCTGTTGTTGAAAAATATTAATGGCATGACAGCGAACCATTCAACCCTTTTGTCATTACTACTGGGTATATACATATATATTCATGTATAGAGCTCGAAACTGGTTTGCAGTCGTATGCCAAATTATCATTGTTGCCGCTGGACGTCGATTTTTATTGTCATCTAGTTTTTGTGCAAGCTGGGGATATTCCAGAAAACCCAGCGAATCGTGGCAGAAGCTGCCGTCAGGAGCAGGATAGTTCAAGGGCAGACAAGCTCGAGGCATTGTTCCCAGCGAGAGTGAGAGAGATGAATAGGGAAACCTGTTAGTGGCACATCTATATGTGGCAGAAGGGGCACGATAATTATAAGCTAGCTAGATGCAAGATAAGAGCTCAAACAGGTCCTTTGTCTCGCTGACTCAACTGCTTTGATTGCCTGCAGTTTTGCACGCACTGCGGTTAGCGGCCAGCCGGGCAATTTGCGGCGCTGCAGAGCTGCAATCGGGCGACCAAAATTGAGCTTACCACAGCCTTGAACTGTTTACACATTTTGGTTTTGGTTTTTTTGTTCTTTGCAGTCGCACTTTGCATACCATGCCATGGCGCAAGAGCTGCACACACACTCAACAATTGCCATGTATCATGGGTAAACAGCAGTTGTGACAAAACTCTATTATATTTGCTGAGAAATTATCATGCTAGTAGTGCCTGGTGCCTGATGCCTGATGCCTAATGCCTAATGCCGTTTGCCGTTCTAATTACGCGGCACGCTCATTTGCCGCCTGCAATTCGGCTCTTGACACTCGGCGGGCGACTCATGCAAATGTGCCCGTCATTCTGAACTGAACTAACTGAAACGTATCAGACCGTAGCCCAATCGAAACGAGTTGGCCCCCATTTTTGTGGCCAGTCATCGTTTGTTTGGCAAGCCGCGAGAACTTTGTTGGCGTACGCCCGATCAGCCCGAGCCGACACGTGCATTGTGTCTGCACTTTGTCTGCTACCACAAAGGCGATTGGTCTTCCATCGGATATCGAGAGAATTAGGCAGCCTTAATCGAATTTGATCCGCTGCAAGCAGCTTGAGGCAGCCCCAGAGTTCACATCATATTGGCAAGAGTTAATCGATAATCAGTTAAGTGTTGCGAAAATCCCCACTCACAAGAGTGCATGCCCCATTCCATTTATAGTTGTCGACTTTTTGGTCAGTGCGAAATATGTGTGATATCATGGCCAAACCGGAATACGGATAAACATGGTCTTCAAGCTATTTTTTTGGTTCTACATTAAAAACAGGCGTTGTCACATTTGATCTTTAGCTCATTTCACTGAATTAAAAATAACAAATGGAATGAAGTAAAATGAAAGAAATAGTTGAAGAAATGAAGAAGTAAGGTAAAAACATAACTTAAATAATGGTGCTAACTGTTCTAAAACGGTGCTTTACTCAATTTAAGTTTGTTTTCTAAATATGTATGTTTATGTTTTCTGTTTATAATATCTTTTAAAATAAAAAATAAATGAATATTTCACGATTGCCAATTAAGGTAAATGCGAATCTTTAGTTGGTTAGTAGGATGATAAAATAAGGTAGGCAATTAGTAGGATACAAATATACTAATTATTTCATTATCCAGAAATGCGTATTATTTATGTTAATTTATCTATCATAATAAATCATTAAGCTTTTGCCAAAATTGTTTTATCTAAAATCTAATAAAAAAGTGAAGTGCTCTTAGTGTAGACTGCACATCTGTGCGATGAAGTTAATTATTTTCTAGAAATTTAGCAAATTATTTAATTTTATTTTCTATCAGCTTCTACAGTGAAATACAGAGTTACTTTTGTTTCCCCCATGAAGATGTGCTATGCTGACTGAAGGCATTCAAACAAGCAAGAGAGAGAGAGAAAGAGAGAGAGAGAGGAAGCGCAAAAATATAGGGAACAAATATTATTAGAACTTGGCTCGAATGATATAGATATAGACTGGTGAATGGAGCGCTGCCCATATGATCAGCAGCTCATAGTATTTACTCGATAAATTGCCTTAATAGGTATTGATATTTCAGACAATTTGAATATAAATTTAAAAAAAATGATTGCACAATAAAGCCGGGAACTATAAGTCTCATTTATTGCCAAAAGCTTCTAGGCGTTACCATTTTGCAGAAGACAAAGCTGACTGCTTTCGGGAGTGGACCTGTCTTGTCTTGTCGTTCAGCTCTTCAAAGGCATCGTCTACGCTATCATCATTGTATAAATCAACTCTAAACCTGTCCACATACTGGTACATATGTGTGTATACATATTTACTGCACACATTTGTCGGTAAATACACAGACTGATGGCTCATTCTAGGCAAACACCTCCGAGAACTTATGCTGTAAATTTTGCATATTTATTTATTTAGCTATTAATTTCCTAAACCTGAGCAACGTTCACATGCAAATTAATTTCATTGTATGTATGAGTGTGTGTGTACGTGCGTGTGTGTGTGCGTGCGTCGATCCCGAATGCTTAAACGCCTCAAAATAGTCAAAGCTGCTGCTTTGCATATGAATTCAATAATTTGCTCATCCCGATCATTTTCGAAAGGTGGTGCCGAGGGTACATGCGCTAGCCCGCCCACCACACGATGCTCTATAAATATTTGCAGGTGCTTTGCATAATGCTGCAAACAAGCCACGAAGTGATCGCGGCCTAGAGATGGGTACGTCAATTAGCGTGGCTATTGCCTAATCTTGAAAATGTAAGTAAATAGGAGTTTTGTTCGATACCAAATTGCCCGCCTTCGCTACTGTCTCTGCGGCTGCTGACGTCATTAGCGACGTCTCTTATTATGCGATAATCAGCCGGGCTTGAGACCGAGCGATAAATTCTAGACACGCATCCGCACAAAAGAACCAAACCTATATTAATATTCTGATTTTTTCCTCGTTTTCTCGGACTTTTATGTACACTCAAAGCGTGCTTCCAGCTTTGGCAGTGGCGCACATGCCACATGGCTTTCAGCCATTCAGCTCTGATGGCGGCCCAGTGCTCGAGCCATTCAATTGATAAGAGGCTAAAGCGAAGGCTGCATATCTGTTACGTGCGTCGCTCTCTATTGATACGAAATCTCGTCAAGTCATTGGGAGTTGATTGAATACAATTAACAATAACAACACAGAGTAGTAGAGTCAACTGAAGATACCCAGTAATTAGAATTGAAGTTGAAGTTTTACATTGTGAAGAATTTTTAAAGATGTGCAAGGAATCGAAAGAAACATAGCATTGTTGACTAGCCAGAGAAGACATGACAGATGCTGCTATACACTTAATGCACATACAACCAATACGCTCTGCTTTTCATTTGTACAGGGTATAATACAACAATCAACAAAACGAACAAGTGCAACGCATAAAATTAATCAACAGACACAATGTCAGTGTCGGGCACCAGCAACATATGAAACGATCAAGAGGCCAGCCAAAGATTGGTGCTGCTGCTGCTGCTGCTGCCAATGCTAGCTATGGGCAACAGCAGCAACATCAACAGCCGCACCAGCAATGGCAACGCACTAAAAATCGACAAGGTCGTTCAATTTTGAGGAAACAAAACATAATCGAGACAAACTGATCGGCGTATGTCTCTCCCCTTGATGGTGTGTGGCCAACGGCCTTTTGCCAAAGATACCTCCATCGTTAAGATCTCCCTCTAACCATTATCATACATATGATTTACAACATCGTTTGGGCCATATTGGCCAGCAGCAGCCTACAAAGAGAATCCAAATTTATTGACAACGCTCTATGCAAATTATTGACGTCTTATTGAAACTTGATTTTTATAGCATTTACTATATAGATTAGCTTAGTTTTTTCTCCTTTTTTTTCATTGTAGCGCGCCGACGTCGCCTTGAACTAGTGCGTATACGTTGGCTAAAACTAGTATAATAAATAATAATGAATTAAACAAATACCAACATATCTTTCACTCATATTTAAGTATATATCAGTCCATAAACGATGTCAAGTGTTAACACTTCCGTGTGGGGTTAATGCAACAATCTAATCGCATTTTTTTAGCCAAGTAAGTATCTACTACATGCGCTCTAAATGGTATTTATAATGAGCTGGAAAAAATTCCTAATAGATGCAAGGTCTCGCAGCTGCTCAGTCAATGCTT